TACTACTAGCGAGAGTACTTCTCTCAGTTTTTGAAGGTCACAGACGGACAGAGAGCCCGACATCTAAGTAACTCATACATTTCCTTCACGAGAAATGTTCTATTTTTCCAATGAGTGGCTTACAATCGAGATTGGAAAAGTATTGAAAAAGTAATCACCTGATGAATTCGAAAATATGTGTAGTAATGGCTAGTAAACATTTCCATGTCCGGTTAAACCTTATATATTTCTTCAACATAATAAGCTATCTCTTCTTTGTCGGCTTCGATAAATGTACACTGTACAAGTAAGAAATGGATAGCATGGACTTCAAATAACGTTCAATTCTCAGATTATTTCATATATTGAGCAAACTCACAAAATCACGAGGAAATTTGGTCATATTCTAGCTGCTGAATTACCTCCCTTGCTCTACTGAATTGTTCATTACTTCCAAATTTAGGGGGAAACGGATAAGGGCCTAGCGTGTTATTTTGATTCGTTTATTTATTCTTAGTGAATAAATTACTGAGAATCATTGTTTTCTGGACAAGTTAATCCATCGACCGGCAAAATTGTTGTAAGGCACAGGGCATTTCATCAAAAACAAAAATTAGGATTTCACTAACACTGAAAGTCGATCTGATCGAATCAGAATGTTGATAATTATAATCATTGTGTTTACATTAATCCGCATTTGTAGATATATACATATATATATTATCCAAGCGACATCATGAACAAAGTTCATAGGTCATAAGTCATCTTTCTTGATGAGGTCGTGATCCGTTAAGGAAATAAAAAAAGTTATTTTTCTTGGGATATTAGACCCTGAAAGTAAGGAATCTGATTCATAGGTTCCTGTACTTCTAGCTATATGTATTCAGGTCAGATTTGCTGTTAGATTTTGTGTTTCTATTCTTCATATTTCCTACAAACGTTTTGTGCCTTCTCATTGATGTCTTTTTTCTTTCTTCTTCTTTCATGATTTCGTCTCACTACTTGATACGGGAAAAGGACGAATTTATATATTTTTCTGCTGTTTGCATGGCCTGCTGGCCATGGTCTGTTGCCTTCTGGCGCTGTGTTTTGCGTAGTTAACAGTTGAATATGACGACGTCCTAATTGATCCTGGAGGTAGTAGGTAGCGGGTGGTATTTCCATTGAATTCGAGGTTAATTTTAATCCTTAAATTCATATGTCCAAGAAATGATAAATCCATAAAGTTGATTTCATGAGTAAAGGAACTTTCTACAACTCTTTCCTCTATAAAATATTTGTCAATCATTGTCTTTGGTGTTGGTTTTATACAAATGTACAGAAACATGCCAATAATTCCAGCTTTGTTTTGACGAAGTCATCTTCAACGCATTTATATAAATAACTTTCAGGTTGGGGATGAAATGTACGATGGGTTTAATAACATCTTTATTCTCGCGTTGGTGGGGTTATAGTGCGGCATCATTTCTACAGAATCTGTAAGCGACCGGATGACCCGATGATTGTCCCACCCCTGTTGGTAACAGATCCCTAGAAGTGTGTGAACTATCCAGTAGCAGTGGACTCCTTGTTCATGGTCGTAGTGTTTAGAAGCCCCATATCGCGTATTCTCAAGTCATCAAGCTCATGATAGCACAGCAAATGCGGGATAACTACTGCCGGAATTGAACTCTATACTCGTGGTGAAGGCGGGGGTAGACAGAATAAGATATTTTGATTGGTAAACGCCAAACAAGAATGAAAGCAATCTTTGAATCTTTGGTAAAACGTGGTATCCTGTTCACAAGTGTTCATAAAAATAGTATCCTTACTGAGGATATTCAGTATAATGTATTGATTAAGACCATTAAGTGACTGAGATCAGATACTGGACAATGTATTGGTGATATTCATATATGTTAAGCTATTGAGTGTAATGATTTTTGAATACTGGGTTCATCACCTCATCAGACACATGACATACCGGACATTGTTGATCTTGCTTCATAATGTTGACTACAGTACATTTAATAAAACCTTACCGATATTTAACATATTCACACTAAAACTCTTTTCTGAAAACATATCTTTCGCTGGTATTCATTTTCAGATACAGTATCCTATCGTTATCGTTAAGTTTAAAAGCAAATATTTTTTTAAATGTTATGTTTGCTACTTTCATATATGATATATTTACCCCACTTCGCACGCCAAGAATGGCATTTTTTCTTTTAAAGAGAATTTGTCGTTTACTATATTTTCATTTTGCAACGTAATAATATTCTCGTCGATGGCGCGGAAATCGCATACCCGACTTGAACACATAGTCTTATTTGTCATGTGATTTTGTTATGAATCTATGCGTCCTCCATTGCTAATATCATGCCCTACTTTTAACGAGTATATGTTTGGATCGTAATTCCATTAACGTGTCGATTTTTTTCCTTTTTTTTAACCAGCAAACCAACAATGTTGATACTCGGGCTCATAAATCACCAGATCAGATCAATTATTGCGTTTGTTTTGTTATGCTTCTGTACTTCAAGAGTTCTTTGCGATTTTATCAAAGCAATTAAAAAGGATAGCATATTTGTGCGTATGAAACCCATAAAAATAGAAAATACCAACAAATAATCGTTATCTGAACCACAAATGGAATAAATGAGGGCGAAACCTAAACGAAGTATGTTCTGCAATTTTAGTGGTGTTTTCCAAGCTGAAGGGGTTATAGAAAACATATAGTCATACTAGTTGTATTCTGCAATATTTGATGTCCATTTAAGGATTTCCCCCCTTGACTGTTACTGTCGACTACACGTTTTCCTCTTGATATATTAGTTATCGGTGGTATTCATCTATAAATGCATTTCTTTTGATTATAACCAAAACATTCCTAAAGTATGTTTTTTAAACCTTATGACAGATGCTGGATGTCTTTATACGATATAACCAAAACATTGACTATTTAAACCCGTCTTTATACGATATTCTAGTTCTCCGTATTAATGTTTGTTAATACATATACCACTTGACGAAAGAAATGTACATTAAAATGAATAATATAGGTACTGGTTCCTCTTGATTAAGTAATATTTTGTGATTAGGAGTCTTAATTTGCCAAGGCACATTAATAACGTCTTGTTTTAAATAACAAGAAACGTATTGCAAATGTCCATCCTATATACCCAGCAGAATTTCGACGATACGACAGATTATCCATGTTGCCTATTCCAATATTTTGCTATAATGAAACCAACAGGGACAGTTTTCCAATAAGCTGTATAATTATTGTGATTATTTCTTTTGAACGATTTCTGATGAACAATTATTCTGATTTATACACTTTTTGGTAGATTATCAGGTAATAGTTTGTTAATGTCACACGTAAAAGTGATGGAAGAGGTAAAGATTTTCTGTATTGCGAAATTAGGATTTTCTGTCTTAGTACCTGTAGATTTAGACCAATGATTTACGCCGTGTTTAATTCATACTGTTCCTATTATAGCATCACAACTGATTTCTGACTGACATAGTCAATTAAAACGATATCGGGAATATTAAACTGGTGACATAAAAATAGGCGAAGTTACTTGGTAAAAGGCTGATCATGTGATAGATAAAGGCTGCACATCTCGTTGTTGTTGTTCAGGTATTCACTCGAGTTAGTTCATTTTTAAATGTTGACATTTAAAATAACAAAGTACAGTGAATGAAATTCCAAATACTACAATCAACAATTTTGTGTGACCTATTTCTACATGATCAAAAAAACTATTCCAAGAATGAACAGGTGTGGTCTAGTACCCGCATGTGATCTTTATTACATTTATCATTTTGGGTGTCATTATATGACCTGAGGGCAAATACTACTAATTAATATGCAAAACTAAACTAGACATACAAAAACACAGTGGTTAATTACAAGTTCCAACAAGCAACATATAGGTGTGTTATTTTCAAAGCAATACATTTATCGAAATCAATGTAAAATCAAATTATTAGAAAAAAAATCGTGAGCTACTTATTGTACATGTAAGTTACACGAACGCACGATTCTTTTTTCTGGTCAACGTTAACAATATCAGCAGACGTTTTAAATGATGATATACCAAGAGAGGTACAAGCATAGTTTATATAAAAATGTATGATTAATGGATGACTTTGGAGATAAATCACATCCACATACTGTAGAAGCATATCATATAACTCATTAACGTAAATATCTGCAAGACAGAGGAAGAAGGGAAGTAACTCCAGTTGTCAATATATGTCTAGAAGTTATCACGAGGCCATCCCAAGTATTTAAAGATTAGCATTAATTAACTCATAATGCAAATATTTCCAAAAAGTGAACATATTCTTACAAGGCATCAGAAGATTGATGTTATTGTAGTTTTGTTTATTAAAATGTATCAAAAATTTATTGTTAATATTGATTTGAAATTGATAAAAGTTTCTTCCCCATAAATCTTTAATATAATATCTACTACCATGATATCGTATCAGATTGAAGGTTTTACTTTGGCACTATCCTATCTAAAAGATTCGACAAAACCTATCCGAAAAGTAAATAGCACTTTTGAATACATATTAAGAATTAGAAATAGTATAGTCAAATTATGGACTTGATTGCAGCGTAAAACTGTTTCATCCTTCTGAGACTCGTCAGTGATGCATATGATCTAAATTGTTGAAGTCAAGGAGGTGATCGAATAAACTCAAAATTGGTCTAAATTGAAGTCGAAAACTAGTTAGGAAGTGCTTATCTTCTGCTCGATTTGCCTATTGCCCCCCTCCAAAAAAAAGTGCTTACATGAAAAAACTTTTTACGTGTTTATATCGAAATTTACATGGCGATTTGTTTTCAAGCTTTACGTTTTTTTCTTTTTCCCATTTGATAATTGTCAAGGGAATTCCTTAATAATTCCTTCAGCGTTGAGTTTATACAAATGTACTTCGTGCCGATAATGAGTGTAACTGACTTTATTGAGTCCGTTTCGATGCATTTGCTTACAACTTTCATATTTATGATGATATTTGATCTACGAAGATCTAAGAAGCGTTTCTATTCTCTCTACAGCAGGATTATAATGTGACATCGTTTCTACATAATCTGTAAACGACCTGATGGCGCTGCGAATGTCTCCAACAGTTTGGTAACATATCCCCAGAAGTGTGTGATTTATCCAATAGCGATGCCCTCCTTGTTCAGGGTCGTAGTTGGCCGCCCGCAGGTTTAGAAGCTCTTTATCCCGTCCCCTCAAGTCACCAAGTTCATGGTAGCAGAGGAAAGACAGAAATGCGGCGTATGGCAAAGGAGGAATAAGTACGCCCGGGTTATGCATTTTAACCTCGAGTTGAAGGTGGGGTATGCAAAATAGGATATTGTGCTCGGTAAAAACCAAACAAGAGTAAAACCATTCTTTGAACCTTTGATAGCACGTGTTTTTCTGTCCACTGTACATTTGGTATAGCAGAGGTGCACCATTTCTTGATTTGTATGTCCTTGAGTGTAATGCCTCTGAACTGTCGGTGTCGGCGTTTGCCAAACAAATGAAGAGTTTATTTGTCAACCTCATATATGTACACATCTGGAGTGTTTTGTTGTAGTTTCCGGTGAGAAAGTGGCAAGTGGCAAGCATCATTACTCCTGGGCTGGTACACATTGATGCATGCGATGTCATTAAGTGTCTACATTTCTTCATGGCAACATACTTGGATTTATTGCTTTCAGTGACATTATACTGACCAAACAGTTGATGCGCTCTACCACAAAGTATTGCAGTCACTATACTGTAAGCAATCAAATCCTCGGAATCCGATTGAGAAACATGAAGGCATTTTAGTGAATGAGAAAATTTTCCTATGATATCGATACGAGGTAATTGGAACAAACATTCTCGAAATAGATCAATATCCGTGCGATATTGCATAAGTTCTCTAGACGTCGGATTTTGCCGTTCTAGGAGCATTCGACCAACGCCATTGTCTTTCGAATCTAAGCATAAACACATCCAATTGAGGTCATGCAGATCTATAAGAAAATGCAGCAGTTTTTTACGGTTTTCTCCATGAATTTTCCTCAAGAATAAGTTGTTGTTTCGGATGAAATAATTAGGACAGTATCCCGCTCTGACCCATGCAATCAAAATAGATAGACAAAACCGAAAACATACAAAGGTATTTTGGTCTACCCATAGCGAAGCCGGAGAGTTTTCGACTGCATGAAAAATAACTGTTTTAAGGAAATACGAACAAAGGATATCATCGTCTCCAATGATGTGCTTAAGTGTATCTTTTATTAGGGTCAAGAAATATTTAAGTAATCCATATACCCTGAATTGAGAATGACTGAGGGAATGAATTAAGATTTGTTCTGCACAGACAAACGATATTCTCCATTGCAGTAGGGTGTCTGTAGAACACTTATCACCAACAGGGACGACCTGACACCCATCCTTAAGGATTCTGTTAATCAAAGTCTGAGTCGGCCATCCATGAAGACGAACTCTATGTATCCATTCAGCAGCTACATTTGGCCAGCATACACAGGGAAATGCAACTGCAAAATCTAGACTCTTTACATAATTCTGGTACGAAATACTGGCACATGGTCCATTAGAAACATAGCCTATGCCAATTTTTCTCTTAAATAGGTCTACTCTGCCTTGTCTATAGATATCACTAGAAACAAACAATGAGTCTCCGACAGGAACAATGGCATTTTGAAAGATGGAGGTACATCCCTCGCCAACCGCAAGTTGTGCTATTTCAAGGGTAACATACCCAGGCCGGCAATGAGCGTCACTCATATACAGAATGGTTTTCTTCAATTCATCCTTAGGGATGAAGTGTGTTCGATCAGGATATGTCACAATAATGGATTTCATAATATACATTACATCCTCATCTGAAGTTTTCAATCTGAAACCTTCGCCAACACTCCCGCCACTAAACCACTCCAATAACTTGTCGTCTGCATTGCTTATCTTATCACTGACGTGCATCACCTTTCTTCTGTTATTGACCATTTCCTCTGAACCGTGACAATCATCAAGTATCTGTACTAACAAAGGTGATATGCTGTCGTTGTCGATTTTGTACCGTGGATGTTGCAACAACTGTAAGGAAACATTGAATTCAAAGTAAATAAATAATGATGGTAGTTTGTTTTTCGTAGCCACTCTGTGAAGTAAGATCTTAAATGTATATTAGTTTTGCTATGTTATCATTCACCAAATTGACCCCGGAGAGACGAATTTGGAACCTATACATATCAGCCTTATTTTTCTGGCCTATAAAGAAGGCGACAAACAGTTCCTAATGTGAATTAATCAAATGGTGAAGAATAAAGGGAGGGAATTCGGGAAAAAAATGGAAAAGACTATATCATTAATAGGGGTTGTTTACAATTCATCATAATATTGCTTATCATGCAGGTAAAAAAAATCATGTTTTTTTTGGGTTTTTTTCTCCGTTTTCAGAATCATTCTTATCTTGTGTGGTAAGAAACAAAAAGAGAAACGAAACCGCAAAAACCACTAAAGTTCACTGAAAGAGTAGAAAATTATCTTTGCAAAAACACCACCTTAGAAAACATGGCAAAGTGATTGCCAACAACGCCAACCGTCTAAAGATGACTGATATTTATATGGAGATGCAAACAAGCATTTTGAGATCCTCATCGAGTGATCACGTGATCTTGTCGTGTGTATTTTCTCAAATTAGACACACACATCGATACGTCAATATTTTCAAGACATTTGGTAATGAGCTCAAATACAAGAGATGACACGTATTGACTTTCTACCTGCCTTAGTACAACTTTAATACAAATACAAATTTCTTGTTTAGTTCATCCTGTGCTTTAAAAAAAAAATTAATTAGCCAGTAACTCAAATGTACTTTAAATCTATTTGGGTACGATTTTATTTCTTATTATCATTATTTTTTTGACATTAGGGATTTCTAACCGTTTATTGTATTTGCCTAGGTTTATAGAGTTTTGTGAATTTTTCAGTTTTGTTTCATTTCAAGAAGAGTGTTTAAAGGGGCATTTTGTAGGTTAAGATATGTTTTAGGTACCGTCTGAAGTTAACAATCCATTCTGTAAAAATGTTCAGTGATTCAGGTGTCCAAGGCTAATATACTTATACAATTTTCAGGTTATTATTTGTTTCCATTTTCAACGACGTTGAATTTCAACATGTAACACCATAAATCGATCGCTGAATTAACTTTAAGATTGTAGACTTACCTGGGTTAAAAACTCGGTAGTTAAAGGACACGGTTCTTCATGTTTAATGTGCTCGAAAGTCAACTTGCTGTTTTTGTGAAAGTTTGCAAGTGGAATAGCCATCGTTATAACGTCGTCAATTCATGCACAGGATTCATAGGTTCCGCTGTGACACACGTCTTACAATCAAAAGTCAGAGACAATTGTTTCAAAAGTCAGCCGCTAATATATTCACTAGAAACAGGACTGGTCGCCTTATCAGTCCTCCTGCTACCTACATGCCCCGCCTTTTGATGTCTCGTTTTGATGACGGAAGGGTCCGTCTCGACTGAACTTCTCAGACGAGAGTTTTAATCTTAATGACTCTTCTGCTTGTTTATCTGGAGACACTGATATATTTACAGTTCAGCTGGTTTTGTTGATTAAATTTGGTGCCTCTTTTTTGACATAAGTTCAATCTAAATGACCATTTGTTTAGTATCTGTCTTCATAATGTTCATATACTTACATTTTTGCTCATTTGATCACACCAGAGTGACGAGAAACACCTATCGTATGCTATCCTACAATTACAATGCGTGCACACGTTCGATTGTGTAATATCGTGTATATAAGAAGAATTTCCAGTGGTGTGGCAACCTACCCTAGTGATATGTCCAACATTCCGCGACAATTTCTCCATTTAGCTCAACTGACACATGTTTATGCAAGGTATTTCCAGAATACATAAAGGCATATAGAGCGGAACGAAACCAGTAGGACGTGTAACATGAGTATACCCGATTTTTAATGTACGTACAATTATGTACATATGCCAGCGGATCTGAATCACCATCGGTAAAAGTCGGCTAACTCGGCCGATTCCGGTACCCGTTATCAATTACAGAATCAACCGAGATGGGGCAAATGCAACAGCGAATTACATTTGACGAAACAAGACGCAATTGGTACGCTGACACATGAACATGCCATCATATTATCGGCATTAATCATTGAAGAAAAATTGATAGAATACATTTTAAAGCATATTTGTAAAATGGTTATGGGGTGTCAAATAAAGCGGTAATGGATTTTAAAAAGATGATTTAAAATCCATTGGGAGAAATGGTCAAATGTAGTAGTTTGTTTATATCATACAGATACGCACACGTGTTGTCAATGAACTTACCTTGCTTTCTAATGCGTTTGCGTGATATTGACATACATTTTGAACCTGCATTACTTCCACTTTAAAACAAAATTAAATGATGTCTCTTAAATAGGTTTAAAGGAAATTAGTTCATAGATGAATTACTTCGTACACAATTGCCAGCAGGAAGGGATAGAAAACTGATACATTTATAATGACAAAGAGTAGTCTCACAAGGAATTGTGGATATTCGTGTGATAATTTTTGAACAACGAATAGCAATGTTCAGGACGGTGACAGTCACGGGGAGTCAAAACGATAAAGACAAGAAGTAAGTAAACTTAAGCAAAAAAGTATGTCATGCTTTTGTTCACAATCTGACAACACATTCAGAAGGGATACCAATTGTACAGGTTTATACCTCAACTATATGATACTTAGAGTAAATTGGAGAGAGAGAGAGAGAGAGAGAGAGAGAGAGAGAGAGAGAGAGAGAGAGAGAGAGAGAGACAAAAGGAATAGGAAGCCTCGATTTTTTAAAATATGATCAACATGTTAAACTTTTACTACTGGTTGGAGATCCCTGAATCCTGCAGAAGTCTACTCGTACATGTAGTGGAATACAACATTTATGAGTCTAAAGAGTTTGTTTGTCCCCATAACAGAAAATTAGGAGATATTACTTCTGATGATGAAATGATACTTTGTGTATATACTTATGCCCCTGTGATGATATACAAATATTGATCGACATGTATTTGTTCAAAATGAAGTTGTTTATAACGAAAAAATAATCTAGTTAACCTGTTGTTCAGATATCAAGAGTTGCCGATATTTCCATTTCAAACTTCGTTTTTCATTCTACATGGTAATTGAATATGATTGAACGACAGGCTATGCCTAGAACAGTTTGTACTTGGTAATGGAATTTGATGGTAGAATAAGCTAGGCATGGAACGGTTTGTACTTTTTGTAAAATAAATCAACATTTAAAAGCACAGATAAATGATGACTAACACGTAAGTCTTGTAACTGTGATACTAATTATATCATGTTGCATGTTAGTAATATATGGAAGAAGGGAGGGAACTCTAGCTTCTGTCATTCAACAAAATATCTCAATATATCTTCTCCAGAATCTCCAGATTGACATTGCATTATAATTATTTTTGATTGACAATTAACACAAACGGTGTCATTTGAGGATGAGCCGTCATGTGCAAGATAAATGAAAATACACATAATTAGCATTATTGATATCAATAAATGCCAAAGGTATGAGGCTTATACAGAACGCATATTTTACAGATGGTTCCATCTTGATATATAGTATTGTCATGTTTTCCACAAATTTCCACTTTGTCTAAAACAATTAGAATCTTAATAGACAGGTTGTTGTTTAGATGCAGTGAAGTAAAATAATAAATCACCCGTATTATTCAGCTGATTCCTTCTTCTGCCACTCGTCAGTGTTGATTCTCAATTGTTGAGTCCTAAGAAGTGTTTGAAGAAATTTAAAATCATATAAATTAATTTGGAAAACCAATTAAGGGTGAACATTTGAAATTAATGCATTTCCTCAATTTCAATATTTAACAATTTCAAAAGAACGTCGAATACATTCGTATTCTTGAATCAAAACACGGCATGCACCGTAGATATATATATATTAACACTCACGCGCACTTTATTTTACATCTATTGCGAAATAAGCGATCAGCCTATATTAATCACTCTTGTTGTCCCGGATGGAAGCGTGCGAGAGGTTTTACTGTAGGAGAAAACCGGAGTACGCGGGGAAAAGCAAGGTGCTTTACCAATGCGCTACCCGCCCATTCAGTGCATCTGAAGTGCCATCCGATGATTTTGATTGCAATTTATTCACGTAAATATAATAAAAAATGACCTTGTTATCGACTTGTTAACAGATTTGTGATTACTGAACTGGAGTACGCCGAGTACATTGTTTTTTATTTTTCACTCCTTTTGCCTATCGTTCAATATATAACATTTGGTATGTTATCGGTTAGATACTTGTATACTTACGAATAGTAATCTATTGTATCCTTTTGCACTCTGGTTTCTTTCATATAATACACCCAGTTTTGAATAAAACTATTGCAAAATAACACATTATATCAGGAACAATGATAAAGAAATAAAATGTCAATTGTTAAATGAACATTTTTTTCAAAGATTTTTTATTTAATATAATACATATACAAAACAAATTCAAAGCCCTTACGCCTTCGCACCTCCTCCTCCTCCTCCTCCTCCTCCTCCTCCTCCTCCTCCTCCTCACAGTCATCATCAGATAGTTAGATACATTCTATTCTGATAATGACCGCACATACTTCTCTGCAACCACCACCACCACCACCACCATTAAACACACCCCACAACCACCCCACACACACACACACACACACACACACACACACACACACACACACACACACACACACACACACACACACACACACACACACACACACACACACACACACACACACACACACACACACACACACACACACACACACACACACACACACACACACACACACACACACACACACACACACACACACACACACACACCACCACCACACACCACACCACACCATTACACACACACACACACACACACACACACATACACACACCACCACACCTCTCTCACACACACACACACACCACTCACACACACACACACACACACACACACCACCACCACCACCACCACATGCCACCACCACACACACACACACACACACACACACACACACACACACACACACACACACACCCTCTCACACTCTCTCACACTCTCTCATCACACACACACACACACCATCACCACCACCATTACATACACACACACACACTACCACCACCACCACCACCACCACCACCTCAAATACACATACACAGCAGCACCACAACGGCCACCAGATCGGGAAAAGCAAAGAGACATGGAAAAGGGGTAGGAAGTTAAGAAAGAGTGGGAATGAGAAATAACACGTGAAGGAAGAGCACTAATTCTAAAAAATAAATAAACACCAACAACCAGCACATGATGAACTGCTCTGTACTGGAACCAGTGAAGGTTTTTGTACGAGGGCTGATTGATAAGTTTTGCTCTTGATATTGAAAAAATTAAGCATGCATGTTTTTCCAACTGCACTATTCCCCGTACCCGAAGACACATTTGGTCATTTGGTCAGGAGTAAACAAGACAAGTGACTTTTGCGAAATGGACAATATGAGGATGATATTATCTATACTGTTGACTACAATGAAATGTATTTAAATGAAAGTTGCTATTCACTTACATCACCTGAAAAGCGATAGGCAATGCATTGTTGCCAGGTCAAAGGTTAAGTAAATGTGAAGAAGTTTCGAGCGATAACACTTAAACCGTTTAAGATATCTTAATGAGACTTGGCGTATACCTTTATCACCTAACGCCGACGTGTAGTATATTGGTATTAGGGCTATTTAGCCATTACTTCAAGGTCAAAAGTCAGAATATTTTTAAGGCATGACCCAACTTTAAACCCTGTTGATCTCCAGATGAAGAGTTCTTGTGCTTTACGTAGGTATTTCAGTAACAATGTAACTATAACAGCAACAAACACATCTTACAATATTGTTAATAGTAACACAATTATATCAATGACTGAGAAGAAGAATTGTCCTATTGAATGCTCATCCTGCTAAAATAGCAACAAATCTATGAATTTGCTTGAAAGTGGGAACTTAGGTTTTTGTTTAATTAAATACATTTCTAGTTTTCAATATCAAATAAATCGAAAGAACAAGAGAACGCCGTGTACATTTTCATTCTTTCATTAAAATGTAGTATTAACGAGATACTATATTTAGGTACCACTGATGAACAATTTGATGATTGTATTTGTAATGCGTTCACGTAGTCGTATTTGAACTTGATATAATATTCGTTTAAAAGATTCGTGATTTTATGGACTTG